TTTGGTTGAAATTTTCCACTCAGCCTCCAGGTTAAGAGGCAGTCTCTGAATGTACCCCCCCCCCATTTCCCCTCCTCATATTGCCTGTTTTGGAAATCAAGTTTCTTTTTTGGCTGGGTTGAGGGAAGAAAAATGCCACACAGAAACTCAGGCCACCCTCATCCTAAAGTTGGGATAAATTTTGGTTTCGCTCACCAGGTAATAAATAGCTTCAAGCAATATGCCTGGCAGACCTCTGCCATAAGCATTTTGAGACATTCATGTATAATTTTTCTGTCCGATGCCTGATGAAGTGAATTTTATTCACAAAGGCTTGTGCTGAAAGTTTGATATTCAAAAGTCTAAATAAAAGTATCACTGCTTTTACATTCGGATGGTGAGATAAGAAGTTACCTATAATGAATTTTCTGTAAGAATATTGTTTTAAATATTTGTTTAAAATACTAAAATTTGCTTTTAATATTCTTATATTTCTGTTTTTGTTGTTGTTGAAGATGTTCTGCCCAAATTATTTCCCTCATGACATATGCATTATATATACCTTCATCTCTCCTGTTAGCTGTCAAGACTATCTGGCAGCCTTATTAAAATCTGCGCTTTCTCTCTTTCTCTGGATAACTAACTCCTTTCTGTTATGAGGGCAACCTAAAGGCAGTATTCCATCTGAAAGGAATCTGTCTGCTTCATGCCAAGTCTTTCTGCGTCAAGTTATCATTGCAGCAGGTCCCCAGCATTTTTTGTTCTTTGTTGCTGAGCTTGACTTTCAAGCTCAGCACGTTAAAGTAGCATATAAAAAGTAATTATACAATTAATTCTAAGCAACAGATTTCCAAGATGGCAATACTCAAAAAAAAAAAAAAAACCCTCCAAAGTAAATCTCATGCAAACTCCAAAGTAAATCTCACTGAGTTACAGTGTGTCTTTTTCCCAGATTAATTTAGAACTGCAATTTAATGGACGATGCCCTGTTGTTAGTGCAGTAATCATTGAAGATCGAGGGAAGGGCCTTCTCTCTGGCCCTATTCGGGTATTACTATTTGAGTACTTTGCCCACACAAACACAGAAAGCACTCCAGCCTCACCCTCTTCTATCTCCAGTTTCATTGGCCTCAGTGTGTGAAGGGTGACAGGATTAAATGGGGAAAACTCTATGATCTGGGGTGGCTCTTTGGGTGAACTGGAATCCAGGAAAACCGAAGGTCTTAGATTCATGTGGACTCTCCCAATGCAGAGAGAGAACTCTTCTCTGGGCTTGCACACTGTGTGAGACAGGAACAGCAGCAGTGATGATGCATGTCGCTTTGGAGCCCTGCCATGCCCACCACAAAGAGAGGGGAGGAGGACATGGAAGAGGAAGAGGAGGATGGACGCGGTAGCTTTCTTCACACACCACACACCTACGTACCTCAGCATTACCTTATCCAACTCTGATAATAATGTCTCCAGACTGAGGGTCCTTCAGGTGGAGGAATTATGGTGAGGGGTGACCAAACATTTGCCAATCTTTTTGATTAACCCCTCCACAAATGCCTCAGCATTATTCCCAGAATTGACTGAGGAATGGCCAAGGTGTGCAAGAGGACAGTGGTTCCCCCCTCCCTGTTTCCTTTCCAGAAAGCTTTGCAGGCATGGGGATTACCTGTGGTCTTTGGCTTATTTTCTCTACTGTGTAGCATCTCCTTTAAGAAAGCTAAAATTTCCACATGGAGAGAAAAAGTTTCACTTCAGAGAAATCTGTTTCTAGAAGAAGTGCTCCCTCAAGTGGCAAAAAAGTAAAATTGTAAAAACATGTCAAAAGGACTCAGAGTGTGTCCTCTGGGTTGTCTTCAAAATGTAAACAACACCTTCTTTTTCACGTCTAATTCTGGAGTCACACATAATAAAGCAGGTCACTGTTGTTGAGGAGAAAACACTATAGGAGCATGAAAGATACATTTCTTTGAACATGTTTTTCAGGCCTTTGTGTCTTGTTTATCTGAACTGTTCAGTTCCATGTGTGAATACAGTAATGTACACATGGAATTCATAAAGCATGGCCACATGAAAAATCGAGCAAAGGGCTTCTTTGCCGTAAACAGATGTGGAACAGATGTGTAAAAGAAGGAATTATCGTAGGTGTAGCTTCTCATTCAGCAGGTGCCACTTGAAATTCCCTCTTCTTGGTGAAATATGCTTGTCACAGTTGTTTCTCCCAGGGAGTTTGAACTCAGTTCAGAAAATAAGCTAGGTCAGGAGAGGAAGAAAATCCTTCAAACAATCAAGAGTAGTAAGAGATGGGGAAGCAGCTCTGTTCTGTTTCTCGATTTGGCTTTGTTTTGTTTTAACACAAGAAATACATTCCACCCATCAGGCTTCATGTGAGCAAAAAATTGTTCAGAACTGCCCGACTGTATGCAACATTTCTGTAATTAGCTAAAGATTAAAAGGGAAATTTCAGATAGCAGTCAATATATTGCTACACAAATCAGCAATAATCTTTGCCAGTGGTTAAGGTCCTTTTATGATGTTTGTTTCTGATCAGCTGTAGGCAGCAATGTTTGTTTACAATGTCCATTGAAAGTTTCCGGTTTGCATGTCATTTTACTTCTTATTATTTGCTACTTGGAAATTAGTGGTAAACAGTTGCCCTATTTCCCCTTGAATAGCCTTTGGGATAGGGAGCATCCTTGAACATCCAGTGGGATGGGTTTAATTATTATTTTCATGCATTTTCTTCTTCTTCATTCTTAAACAAAAATAATATATTTTGTCATGGAAAAACAGCAAGTCATCACAAATTTCATGTAAAAGAATCTGATGCTTGTACAACTTGAAGGATTCAATTCTGATGGGATGTGGTACAGTCATCTCATGCAAATTTTGAATTCTCAGGTTATATGTGAAAGTTTCCCTGTATGTGAGGTTCTATATATTAGATGTTTGCTGGAAGATTTTTCATGTGGATGGAGATGATTACAGGGGGTGGGGGAGGATGTCAGGTTGTCAAACCCTTTTGGGCTGCTTTTCTGTAAGAATTTTATACTCTGTGTTGTTTTCAATTTTCCCGTTTTTGATTTTACTGTGCAACGCTTTGATATAATGACAAAGTTTATGATTATTATGATCTTAAAATTTGGAATCTGCAGTTTAAACCATCAGGAGAGCCATCTTCAGTATTTTGCCAGCTACTATATATTCTACACCAACCATTCTCAGACCTTTTTTGGCCATGGACAATATGAAAGAAATATAAGCTGAATCAGGATTGTATAAATCCTATAACAAGTCTTATAAAGTGGTGTGTGGAGAATAGTTTCCAACCTATGGTCTCCTTCAAATGTTCCCAGGTGCTCCGATATTGCTGATCGCTGATATTCTGCACTTGCCTTACAGAAGCTAGAGTTAGGGTGGCTGTCCTTTATTTGGAGAGCTTTTTTTCCCTTTTGGTGATGTATTGCCTCCTTTTGGCAACATATATGTAAGTAGCCACCCTACTCCCACTGAGTTTCCCTGGCCGAGCAGAGATTTGAATACAAGTCTCTTGATTCTTGTACAGAATAGTGTGGTACAGGTGATTGTAGATTTATTGAATTATTCCCATATTTCTCTTCCATTGGCTGCCTGTCAGGGCAGAGACATATTTTAAATTCCTTGTCTTCATGTTTAAAGCCCTGTGTTTTTCTTGTCCTGATTATTTAGTGGAGAGGGTTGTATGGTATACTTCTCTTAAGAGGAATCAATCTATAGATTCTGTACTTCTGGTGGTGCCTTGGACTAAGGTGACAAAATCCAGGCACTGAGCATTCTCCCGCTTGGTGAATGCCAAGTGAAACTCCCTCTCCCAGCACGTTTCTATGGAACCAAAGCTGAACAGATTTAGGCAAGGTTTGAACACCTTTCTGTTCAACTTGGAACCATAGGTGTTGGGTGGAGAGAGAGGACAGTGACTGGTATATCTTGACCTGAACTAGCTAATTTGTTTTATTAGTAGTTGTTAGCCGCCCAGCGTGGCCTGGTTGCCAAATGGAGCAGGGTGTAAATCCAATAGATAGATAGATAGATAGATAGATAGATAGATAGATAGATAGATAGATAGATAGATAGATAGATAGATAGATAGATAGATAGATAGATAGATAGATAGATAGATAGATAGTTTAACTCTTCTTGGATATCTGCTCATTCCAAAGAGTATTATGTCAAATGATCATAACACCCGATGATCTGATGATCTTAACACCTGATCTGATGATCTTAACACCGGCTCATAGTGGGAGATACGGTCTTTGAGATAGCTTGGACCCAGGCCATTTAGGGCTTTGTAGGTTAAAACCAGCACTTTAAATTGTGCCCGGTAACTGATTGGCAGCCAGTGGAGCTGCTGTAACAGGGAGGTGGGGGGGGCTATGTGATCTCTGTAACCAGTCCCAGCAATCTGGCTGCTGCGTTTTTGACCTGTTGAAGTTTCTTGACACTTTTCATCGGCAGCCTCACGTAGAGCACATTACAGTAATCTAGCCAGGAAGTAACTAGGGTGTGTATCACAGTGGCCAGATCAGATCTCTCAAGAAATGGGCGTAGCTGGCACATTAATTTTAATTGTGGAAATGCACTCCTGGCCACTGCTGAGACCTGGGCAACCAGGTTCAGGGATGACTCCAGGAGTACCTTGAAGCTGTGCACCTGTGTTCAGGGATGATTCCAGGAGTACCTTGAAGCTGTGCACCTGTTTTTCGATGGGAATGTAATCCCATCCAGTACAGCTGCATCCCCATTCCTTGATCTGCCTTTCAATGGACCAGGAGCACCTCTGTCTTGTCTGGATTTTCAGTCTATTCACCCAACTACAGTATAGTAATAAGTGTCTAATCTCTAGCTTTCCTGTACATGAGTTGATAACAGAAAATGTCTATTTACAGGGTGATGAGGACCAGGCAGTAACTGTCAGCCTATCTCTCTCCTGCTCTTTAGCTGTTCTGACTTGGCTTCCCATTCCTTTTCTTGCAGGTATAACGTGGAAGCTGCATGGAGAAGAGTAATCTCACAACATCTGGTACCACCATGGAGTTCCTGCTGGTGGGGTTCTCTGACATGATCCATCTGCGGGCCCTTCTCTTTTTCATCTTCTTGATGGTGCATTTGGTGACTCTGGCATGCAACCTCCTCATCCTTCTGGCAGTGGCTGCTGAGCCCTCCCGTCCTCCTATGCTTCTTTTCCTCTGCCAGCTCTCTGCCATTGAGTTCTGTTACACCCTTGTTATTGCTCCCAAGGTCCTGGCTGACCTCACAAGCCCAGGGGGGCGCTGCATTTCTTTTGTGGGCTGTGCTGCCCAAATGCATTTCTTTGTGGCTCTCGGTGGGTCTGAATGTTTCCTCCTGGCAGCCATGGCCTATGACCGCTATGCGGCCATCTGTCGGCCCTTGCACTACATGGCCATGATGAGCCAGAGCTTCTGCTTTCAGCTTGCCATCTTCTCTTGTCTCGGAGGCTTTATAGTATCCTTGGGGCTGACGGTGGCTGTCTTCCGCCTGCCCTTCTGCAGCTCCCATCATATTGATCATTTCTTTTGTGACATCCCTGCTTTACTGCACCTGGCCTGCACAAGGAGCTATGCCAGTGAGCTTCCCCTTCTGGGAGCCTGTGTGACCCTTCTCCTCATCCCCTTCCTGCTCATCTTTACCTCCTACATCTGCATCATGGCAGCTGTGGTAAGGTTTCGTGACTCCGCTGGCCAAGGCAAAGCATTCTCTACCTGTGCTTCACACCTGACTGTCACACTCTTACACTATGGCTGTGCCACCTTCATGTATGTCCGACCCAAGTCCAGCTATTCATCTGGCCAGGACAAGATGGTGGCTCTTGTGTACACCAACATCACCCCTTTGCTTTATCCTCTGATTTACAGTCTCAGGAACAAAGAGCTCAAAGCAGCTCTGAGGAAGCTGCTCCGAAAAAGATTAACTCTGACGAAATAGAATGCATTTAACAGCCGTCCTGCACAGTTTCTCAAACATTAGATTGAATACAGTCTAGAAATTATGAGAACAAATGCTTCCTATATGTTGTAAAGGATAAATAAATAATAGAGCCTTAAATGATGGCCCATCAGAGATATAATCAACCTGTTTTTGCTGCCTGCAAAACAAGGAAATTGTCACATGATTGGTGAACTGATGTAAAGTTAATTTTCTGTCTCTAACTTGGTGGGTAACATGTGTGTCTGTAACAAATATTTATTAAGAGAGTAATTATGCAATCCTATTCAAGTCTATGCAGAAGTAAGCCTTGCTGAGTTCTGTGGGACTTATTCATAGTTTTAGGCCAACATTCTGTTGTATGAGCTATGCTTGCAGAAGGGTGGCAGTGTCACTGGCAGGTTGAGATTTGTGTGTCATTAGCTTCATTGTGTGCAAGCTCTGGGAGCCACTGGACAGAAGAAGGAAGTCTTTAATTAGAAAAAAAATCTCCCCTGCTGGTGATGTCTTATGCAATAGGATTTTATTTTTTGACCATAGTATTTTACCTGAAGTGGCTCTGTTTTGTTTTTATTCAAATGTTTTTTTAAAAAAAATAACTACACATACACTTGTGTTTTTTTTTTTGTCTGTCACATCTAGGGCTGATGTCATTACCTAGCATCCCTGAGTTGACTCCAATTTATGGTGACCCAAACAGGGTCTTCAAGATATATGTGATGTTTGAGGAGTGATTTAACATTGACACCCATATTGAGTTTCCATCAGAGATTTGAACACAAACCTTCTAAGTCCAACTCTATCCACTACACTACACTGGCTCTTGTCCACTGTGAGAAATTACAGCAGTGGCTATCCCTGTTAATCTAGCACTGCTTAGAGCACCATTGTCCTTCATCACCAAGGGAATCCAACAAGGGTTGAGGGGCCTCCCAGCAAAAGGCCCTTTGCACTCTCGAGGCTGCTGTAAATGCTTCATTGTTTTTCCTTAAATGCAAAGATCTTAGGGGTCTATTTGATAGGCAGAATCTGGACATTTTACCAAAATGTCTCTCATCTTTTAGATGAATATCCAGCTATTTCCTAAGCTTTCTAGGCAATTTACCTATAATTTACTAATTTGCTTGGCCATTACCTGTTAACCAACTTTACCAGCTTCAGTAACCCTTTTCCATTTGAAACTAAGTTTCTGAAGATTCTTTTGGACAGTAATGCAGTAACAATATATAATCGTTTCACAGGATAACAATCTACAGAGAACTGTATCAAGAAGGTTCTTGTGGAGATTGTTTTTACATTAGCTGAAGGCTGTGATTGCAGCCATTACCTTTCAAACAGGGGCATCATACTGGAAATATATGACAGGGTCGCTTCCCATTCTTGGGGCACCAGTATGTGGCGTGACAACATCCTTGGCTCCTCTCACAATAGTCTTTCTGCTTGAATTTGATGCAAACACTGAGAAAAGTGAACTTCAAGCATCAGCAAAACATTAATTTGTTTTTTTCAAGTAACATAAGCAGCTGTCCTGGATGTAAGTACTTTAGAGCAATGAATCCATCAGGGACTGAGCTGTTTTTAGCTACATGGATGGATGGATGGATGGATGGAACAAGGGTATAAATGTAATTAAGGAACGAACAAACAACTGTTGAGAGAAATTAAAATCTGGGGAAATGACAGCCAAGCTATCTCTCATTACACAGGATGCCTAGGAAAGCCAATTGGTCTGAGAACATCTGGGACCATCAGTGGAAATATATTTAAATGTGGAAGAGTGGGAAAGAACTGTAATAATCTGCATAAACCTGAATGGAAAGGAACAAAAGTCATTTAAGAAGCATGGCTGGCACCCACAATGCATTCCTAACATCTTGTTCTTCATCCTCACACCCATAAAAGAGGCTCCTTCCATGCTCCCCTATTGCTACCAGAAAGGTTTCTCATGGTGGGGATCACTCAGCTCATATATCACACTCTTACTGGTGCAGCCCAGGTCTGGGCAGCATCCACACTATCCAGGTAACTCACATGGTGTGAAAACAGACCGCAGAGGTAAAATGCAAACTGGAACTCAGCAAAGAGTTAGCACTGAAGGGGGGGAAAATCAATGTACAGAGGTAGGAATATGTGCTTCTGTTATACCCCCCCCCCAAAGGATACATATCACCAAAATCAGGACCAAAGGTAACAGTGATTTAATTAGAATTACTTTTCTTAACATTTATCTAAGAGAAAAATACAGGGACCAAGTGAGCTGCGTGCTGTTCGAGTCCCCTGTCCATGTGCCCTTTGTGGCTGGGCACCGTCTGTTCCCAGAGCAACTATCAGCAAGCAGGCAGCCACAGTAACTTGTGGATTCAGCCCCAGAATATCAGAATGGTTAGTAGACCACACTTTTCCTCTTTGGATAGAAATCATATCCACACTTCTTATTCTAAGAAAATGAGCAAGCAGGTGGTTTAAAAAAAAATACATTGAGATAGGAAAGATAAGAGGAATCCTAATTTTAGTTAAAGGTAAAAACCCCGGGAGCCTTTGTTGCTCCTTCGCCTCTCGAGGACAAAGGCAAGGTGACTCTCTTCTCCCAGAAAAGGTTAAGAAAGAACTGAGAAGGGAGAAAGTGACATGGACCACTCCAATGTTAGTCAAAATTGAAGGAAGGTCCCTATAGGTTAGAAGAGGTAACACGGACATGTATCTTCTTCAATGTAAGCTGAGTTACACCCCACAGCTCTTCTTGATGAAGCTTGCACTCAGTCTACGAGTTTCATCCTGCCTCACAACTTCATGTGTCAGATCTTGTCTCGTGGTTTGGTCAACATGCCAACTGCCATCTCTTCAGTTGATCAGTACCCCAGTTTGTAAAAATCCACTTGCAGTCCAGAGTTTTATTTCTAAGTGGCATCTTGGTCAGTCTCAACATCTTGTTTACGTTCTTCCCTGGTTGCTTCTTTCTGCTTGTCAGATTTCTCTTTGGGTAAATCATCCATTTCCCCCCCCCCCATAGGGTGGCTTCAGGGATTTCTTCTTTCCTGGTGAGATAGGGCAGCCATGCTGCTATTATGTTTCTGTCTGAGTATCTCAGTACTTTCTCTACAGCCCCTTCTAGTTCTACTAGTTTGTCTGTACCTGCAGCCCTCAACATACAGTGGTGCCTCGCTTGACGACGCTATTTTGTCTGTACTTGTAGCCCTCAACATATAGCACTGTCAATATGCCTCCCTTGCCAAAAAAAACTGCTGCTGATCACAAGGGGTCAAGAGAATCAACATGCAGGTGATGGTGCCTACTCAGAACTTTAATTATGAGAAGAGCCTTGTGGCACAGTGGTTAAACTTCAGTAATGCAACCAAAACTGTGCTCATGATCTGGGATTCAATCCTAGATATGTAGCTGGCTCAAGGTTGACTCGGCCTTCTGTCCTTCTGAGGTTGGTAAAATGAGTACCCAGCTTGCTGGGGAGGCAATGTGTAGCGTCCATAATTAAGTTGTAAACCGCCCAGAGAGTTATGGGGTGGTATATAAGCAATACATTTTCCTTTTTTTTCAAGGAAGGAAAGAAACAGCTGATAGATGGGGCCCTTCATGGGTTACATGCAAAAAGGGCGATCGCAAAAACATCAACGTAAAGCGGATTCGTCGTAGAGCGGGGCAATCGTCCAGCATGGCACGACTGCACTGGCATGCCAATATGCCTCCCTTGCCAAAAGACTGCTGCTGATCACAAGGGGTCAAGAGAATCAATATGAAGGTGATGGTGCCTACTCAGGACTTTAATTATGAGAAGAGCCTTGTGGCACAGTGGTTAAACTTCAGTAATGCAACCAAAACTGTGCTCATGATCTGAGATTCAATCCTAGATATGTAGCCGGCTCAAGGTTGACTCGGCCTTCTATCCTTCTGAGGTTGGTAAAATGAGTACCCAGCTCGCTGGGGAGGCAATGTGGAGACTGCATAATTAAGTTGTAAACCGCCCAGAGAGTTATGGGGTGGTATATAAGCAATACATTTTGCTTTTTTCAAGGAAGGAAAAAAACAGCTGATAGATGAGGCCCTTCATGGGTTACATGCAAAAAGGGCTTCCCATGTTGAAAGTTGCAGTGAATGGAATTCCAGCCCCTGAAAAAGCTGAAGAATGTAGAGTTCCCTTTGTCTAGGCTTCACTGCTCAGGTAGGCACAGCTATGTATGGAGGTCAGGTCTGAGTGTTCCAAAGCCAAATGAGGTTGAGATCAATGTCAGAATCATAGGGGCACCTTTTCTGCCTTTGTTGAAAGGTATATCAGTGTAAGTGGAACAAAGTAGGTGGGTTAGGATACTTGACAGGAAGAGGACTGATTGACCTGGATTTAGAGGGAAGCTTTTAGGGTATGACTCAGCACAACAATAGGGAAACAGCAGACGAGACAGAGAGAGGAGTTTAAAGCTAAAAGGAAAGTTTAAAATATAAGCCCTGGGAGATCAGACCAAAGCTCCTTCCAGTGCAATATTTTATTCATGCAGTGGCCTGCCAATAGTCTATGAGAAGTCTGCTGGGAAGACATGCACCTTCTGTCCCGTGTTCTATATAGAGCAGAGGTCCCCAACCTTGGGCCTCCAGATGTTCTTGGACTTCAATTCCCAGAAATCCTGGCCAGCAGAAGTGGTGGTGAAGGCTTTTGGGAGTTATAGTTCAATAACATCTGGAGGCCCAAGGTTGAGGACCACTGCTATAGAGGATTACTGCCTCTGATACCAGAGGCGACATGTAGGCACCCTGACTAATAGCCATGTACAGTACATATGGCCTTAGCCTCAGAGTCTTCCGCTCCCCTTTTAAAGCCACCCATATTGACAGCCATCACTGCATTGTGGCAATGAATTCCACAGCTGATTACGTGCTGTGTGACGAAGTTATTTCCTTTTATGTGTCCTGCGTCTCCCATCATTCACCTTCACTGGATTCCTTCCATTATGTATATACTAGGACTCCCTTATCTGTGGGATCAGTATCCACTGATTCACTTATC